CTGCCCCCGGCGGGGCCGCGCGCACCGAGTCCGACCCGAAGGACCGGACGTGTTGAAAAGCATCAGTGCCCCGCACACAGCCCTGGGAGCCGTGCCCTGCTCCCTGCCCCGGGTTCACCACGTGCCTCAGCCCGCCCTTCGGCCAAGCCAAAGACCCCGGACAGGCTTCGGTTGGTGCCAGCTCGCAGCCTGCTCCCTCAGGAGGCGGCCCTGGCTCCCTCAGGAGGCAGCCCTGGCGGCCCTGGCTCCCTCAGGAGCCGCCCGGGAAAGGGAATCGAGTGACAAAAGCCAGAGTGGGTCATGCTGAGCACTGTGTGGCTGGCACGCAGAACTGCTCTGCTTTGGCATGTGCCTGCGCTGCTGAGGCGCACTTTGATATTGAGCCCTCCGCAGGCTTGCTAACCCRTTAAACATCAGTCCTTTGGTGTTTGAGCCGTTCATCTCAACGTCTGGAAGAAGCTGCGGTGCGCTGACAGGGCACAGTAGCTGTTACTGGGGTGATGATCTGGCCAGGTGACATGGAGCCTGCGAAGGGGCTCATGCGGTGGGTAGTGTAAGGAGACGGGAAGAGACAGGGTGTACGGACAACTTCAGCCCTGCCTCTCCCGGCTGCCTGAGGACTGACTGCCCGCTTGCAGCAAGGCCGAAGTTRGCTGTACTTCAGGTACAAAAAGCACGATTGTGTCTAAGAACAGGAGGAGCGCTCTGCTGGGTCCCATCWGAGGCTCGTCTTGGGCAGACTCGTTCAGTTTCCTTTTAAGACCATGACTTATGCACTAAGGGCAGGTGGAAGGAGGTTGATCACAAACAAAACACAGGGCCAGAAGAAGCAAAAGAAAAGCAGAAAGGCGTTGTGATCCTTCTAGGTGTACAAGGTGCTAAAGCAGGCTCAACCTGTTTCAAGCATCTCTGTGGTTATAAGCATCATAAATTATCTTGCAAGTGACGCGTTTTGAGATCTGTGCATCTCACCCAGTAAAACAAGTGCTGAACTATCAATTCATAGGATAGTGCTAGAATCACAGACTGCTTTTGCCTGAAAAGCTGGCAAAACATACACAGTATAGGAAGATCTTTGAGCTGTTGTGAAACACAGCAGCTCTAAGTACTTGGGATTTTTTTTTTTTTTTTTTTT